ATACGACAAAACCGTAATTGGCAATATTTCCAATACGTATTGGGAAGTGTATACCATGCATGATATAGTAACAATTTGATGGTTTTTAATATCATCATATATTGTTTTATTGACATGATTTAATTTCTCATGTTTTTCTTGAGAAACAGAAGCACGGCAATGTTTTCCGCTGACAGTGCAGCCTCTGTGCCGTAACAATATCACCCGCTGTACTGAATACCCTTCGGAAGGCACTGACGTAGCTGGAATACACAATACCCTGCTGCATAATTGGCTTTATACTGGATACTGAAACTGAAACTGAAACTGAAACAGTGGGTGCTCGCTTCAGCTGGTATCGCGCGCGCGGGCAGCTCAGGTGAGCATAGGCTATATATATAGACTCCCTTGTTGCCGTGCTCCTGCTCGCCGCACAGACGTCAGCCCTACGCTGCCCGCGCAGTAGCACCCGCGCAGTGCTCCGTGCAGTGGTCGCTTACCAGTAATACTGTATGCGTCGTGCAGGCATTGCGCTTTCGTAATATAATACACCGCCAGTGCATAATTTTCGAGCCCATTAACAATATAGAACATAAAGCAAGTGTCAAGTAATTTATTTCTTGTTATACCACCGTATCGTAAAATATCGATATCCGGAAGTTGTTTTATTGCGATATATCGAGTTTTCAACATATATTGCCAATATACCGATATACCGGTATATCGTTACACCCCTACATATTAGATAGTAGTATTTAGTGCCAGGGTACGTTAATTCCGGTATACCAAACTACGATGAATTCAACGAGATGAATTACGATCTAAAACAGGGAAAAACGCTCGGCACAGGGTGGTAAGACCATTGACAGTTATTACCCGATGGCAATTCACACGTGTTAAAAGCTTAATTTATTACATTCTAAGCCTATAACTTAAGGCCCCCTATAAGTATAAGCCTTGAATCATGCAGTTTGAGGGCGGGAAGGCGCCACTTTTGAGGGGGAAGGCGGGTGTTTGCTAACGTGTTTTAATTATCTGTATACCTCTATATTCCACGAGCTTTTGTATACCTCTTCTCTTGTCTCACACCCACACAACCAATTGCATGCATGCAGCCTTGTATTTCGAAATCCATTTAATACCTGAAAATAAACGAACCGTGCAAACCGCGTGACAACACTGGACGCGGTCGTGGAACGTGACACTGCCACTGAAAAGTGGACATCATTTAGAACAATTGACTAATTCAGTTTCTTTCTCTGTATCACAAAACTTCAAAAGCCTACTTTAAAGAAATAAAAAGATAATAATTGAGCCACTTACCTTAATGCCATCAGTGATATAGCTCCGCTACTCGCGAGCGAGCAGGAATCGATCAGTGTTAGCGCGCTCTGAAAATGGGTCGATGTCGACATCGCAGTCATGACCTTTATTTCATCATTACGATTATTCATCAATTTTTTATTTTTTATTTATTTTTTTTAATAGATCCTAGTAATTCCAGATTCTTAACCTAACCCTAACCTAACCCCTAAGTCTAACCCTAACCCTATAACGTTAGAAAAGAAAAAAAGGGAAAAAAAGATGAATAATGTAATGAATAGAATTTAGCTGGCAGTTATCGCCTACGTGAACACGGGCGTAGAGGGAGGGGCGTGGCCTAAAAATTTTCTCTAGCTGCTGAATCGCTAGGGGTTTTGTGTTGTGTTGAGGGTGGGTAAGGGTATTTTCGTGAAACGTGATCGGCCGTTTTCAAGCCTACTTTTTGTGCGAATTCCAGTTGTAAGTAGGCTATTTCTCGTGTGCGCTGGAAAAGTTTTGTTTACATCGTAAATTATGGAAGGATTTTTTTGTTAATAACATATATATTGTGACTTGCGACGTGTATTCAGAGAATGGCATTATTATTTGTAAAAAAAACTCTTGCTGATTTATGGGAATATTTTCGTAAGTATGGCCGTCTATGGGAACGTATTACCAGGCGTAATACCTTGACGCGAGCGAGCAGGAGCTGGTCATCGCGATCGTTGGCAAGCTCGGCCGCTTCCGTCTCCGCAACGACGTTGGCTGCGACACGACGCACGTCGTCTGCGGTTGCGAGCGCCGCACGCTGAGACACCCTACGAGTGCGTCGCGTGGTTCCCGGCCGCCCGGCTTGCGTGCGCCGAGTGGGAAGCGGCCGGCGGTGGAGACCGCTACCGGCAGGCGGTGTTTGCGCAGTGTGGCCGCGTACACATTGGCAACACGGACGCT